TAGCGATGACCTGAAACCATCTAAAGCACCGTAAAGCTTTTTACTGTACTCTTTTATATCTTCAGAGTCGGCTACAGCTGTCAAAGTGTAGATAAATCTATTGTTGGATTTTGCTGTACGGAACCTTCAATCCATAATATCAACAACGGTGAGCTGGATCCATCCAGCAAATTTTTCAAAACATATATTTGAGGCACTTTAGGATTTGTTTTTCAGGGACCAACGAAAAAGAGTCAGATTTGAAAGATTTAACCAAAATAGTCAACGAAGGTTTGGCCACAAAAGGTGTAGTTAGCATCAAATATGACTTTTATGATTGCACAGTATCCAAGAAGTGCCCGTAAAACAAGTGCATCGATGAAATTGTCTGTTATGGTTTTTACAGGCTATTCAGATGATCTCAAAACCGAGATATCACCTACAACTCATCTGATTCACACCTACGCTTACGATTTAATGACTGTACTGTCGTGCCCGTACGAACTCACACCTTCGTATTTGATCAACTCGCAGATCATCATGGAGTGCACAAAAACCGACCAACTAACAAATTCTTGCCCAGGTGAGCAGTAGATTTGTCTGTGTGAACTAAAATGGCTCATGGCTAGTGTTTTAGCTCCAGCTATGTGTGTCAGAGCACCCAGAGATGTGCTGAAACGCTCAATATGCTGCTCGGGTTCTGTGCTAACCTATAATCTCCAACACAAGTTTCCTACCCTATGAGTTACAAACTATTGGAAAGCAGATCATTTTCACCTTTTATCTATCGGTCAGAGCTATACGAGTAACTAAAACGTACCCTTATGTAACGGCAAAGAAACATTATGACATGACGAAGGTGGGAATAAAAACAGCTATCAACATAAAAAGTTCAAAAACCCATGAAAATTAAGGAATACGAACCGGCAAACATCGATGAGAACATGACTAGCGTATTTACAACGAAACAAGCTTGCTTAGGCCGTGAGAAATCACGGGGAATGAAAGTAATAAATGTTAGTTGGGCAGGTCGTTCAAATGATTGCTGAAGTTAAAAGTCACTGAATTGACTAATCGATGATACCAGAGGGACTATAAACAATCAGTTAAAGCTATAGAGACGTAGTCATGA